TTGTATCTAGACAGCCCTAAAGCCCCACCTCCTATGAGTGCAACAGTAGCTATTCAAGTAACATGTGGTTTCACATGAAGAATAGAATTCATGGACAGTTTAAGGACAATTTATGAAAAAGCTTTTGATCATATTGCTGGGAGATTGTCTATTATTATTATTTTAATTTAAATTGCTTAAAGTGTTTTGCATAGCTATACTAGCACTGAAACTTAGGAAATATTAACTTTATTAAACACTCCGCACCTCAGTTCATTTTAGTTTTCAAGATAAGGACTGTGTGTGGCTGTTGAACAATACATGTATGTGTACTGCTTTCAATTTTTCCTCCTACTTTACAATATAAAGTTCTTCTGCAATTTGAAAATAAACAATATGACACTGTGATTTCTATTCAATTTCTTTTTCCCTTTCTCCAAATAAAGACAAAAAAAAAAAAAAAAAAAAAAAAAAAAAAAATCTACATATAGCTCTTTCCAATCTATCATTGTGTTAATATTCTAAACTGTGATTTACTCTAAATGGAAGCTAAAACACTTGATGAAAATTAAAAGGAGACAAAATTAAAATTAAATGAAAGAGATGTGGAAACGAATGGAAGAAATACCTATCTCCAAGTCATTAAACAACTCTGTTTTTTTCCACAAGCTGTAGAAGGCTTTCTTCAAGGACTGATATTAATACTTCAGATCTCTGGATTTACCTCATTTCAGATAGTAGCAACTCAAAATAATCCACACAGTCTATTTTCAAAATGCTGTATTATGGCTGGACTGGCCTCTAGTGAAACTGAAAAATGGATATTAGCATGGGACAGAAGAAACCTAAATGAACTATCTTATCTCCAGAAGCAGTGAAGCACTGAAATGCAATCTGTACATTTCATTTTGAGTAGACAGGCCTATCTCAACTCAAACCTGTAAGTCTAATTGGTACTTGTCAGATTCTCTGTTCTGCTTTCTTCTATATCACTGTATCAAAAGCAGAAAAAATAATAACATTTTAGTATTGATCTGCATTAACAGAAAGAGAAAAAAAGAAAAAAAATGCAAAAGGTATGTTTAATTGTTAGGAATCGGTTATTTTTATGAGACTGGCATTAATCTTCATTTTCCTTCAAACACATTAATATTAATGTGAGACAGGGTTTACCTTACAGACTTGGCCTCTTTTCATATGACATTAAGAAATCCGAAATTTTGAAGCTCCAGTGATTAGAAGTTGAAACACAACTTAGTTTTAAATGCATTAAATAAATTGAAATATATTTTATAACCAGTTTATTTTACCTTGGTTTATTTTGGGAAATATGCCTTATTATGTGTTTTCCTTGCTTATATTCTGTGTACCCGGGCTATTTTAGGTTTGTGAAATCTTTCTTAAAGTACTAGTGGAAAAAAAAAAAAAAAAAAAAAAAAAAAAAGGAAAATATGCAAAGCTGGTGCAATCTAGGGGATCTTGAAAAGTCTGATAATGACTGAATGAATGCTGAGCCTTCTCTTCTTCAGGTTAAAAAGACACTGAAGTTGTTCAAACTTCTCATTCTTGATTGGCATCCTTTACAAATATGGTGAAATGAGAGAGCTTTCTGTGGGTGTAACAAAGTAAAAAACTGTTCTAGAGCAGTTAATTCTTTAATGCATGCATTTTTAAATCCATTTGTACATATCCTTGGCTCCTGAGGCCATGTAAAACTTTAGAACAAGGAAGACTTACCCAAGGTGGAGGGGTACCAGGTTAAAAAGCACTTAAAAAAATTAAATGTACTTATATAGAAAGTGTCTGACAGATTGCACCCATGAGCTCTGAGGGAGCTGGCTGATATGTTGTGGAATATTGCCTTTGTAAAGAAGATTGAGCAAGACTCTTCTCTCTCCACAGTGCCCACTGACAGGATAAGAGGCAGTGGGCAATGAGTAAAACACATGAAATTATCACCAAAAAACACTTCTTCACTGTAAGGGTAGTTAAACACTGGAGTGGGTTGCCCAGACAGATTGTTGATTCTCTAGCTGTGGAGATATTCAAAACAGGACGGAACACAATCCTGGAAAGCCTGCTCTAGCAGATCCTGCCTAAGATGGGAGACAAACCTCCAGAGATTCCTTTCTGTCTAAATGATTTGTGAAATACAGACTTTCTACATACCTGAAACATTTAAATTGTATGCATATATAAAGAACAGAAATTGTACACACACACACACTCACATACATGTGAGTGCATGTGCACAAAAACTTTTTTTTTTTGCCATGGTCAAATGTACATATAGTGGTTCTAATAAGATTTCATAGTATGAAAAATATCTCAGTCAAATACCAGTTCCAACGGATACTTTCTTTGATTTCTGATAGAGTCATTGACAGTCAAAGAATAAGTAAGTAGCAGAAAATGTTTGCAATATTTTCCAGAATCAATCAGTCCGAATCTACCAATATAACAGACCCGAAGTTACTTCTCATCAAGTTTCATGGCTGCTGATAATGTATTTTAAAATAACTTGTCCACAATCTGTAAAACCCTAGGAATCTTTCCAATACTTTGTGTAGCTAAACTCTACCACAGAGATCGCTCACTAAGAAAAAGGGGGAGAAAGTATGAAGGAAAAGGGTTCAAGAGTTGAGATAAGGACAGGGAGATCACTCACCAATCACCATCACAGGCAAAACAGACTCAGGGTAGGAAGATTAATATAATTTATTGTCTGTTACTAACAGACTAGAGCAGTAAGAAACTAAAAGCAAACTAAAGACACCTTCCCATATCATCCACCTTCTCCTCACCTCAGGTAGCTCAGGAGAATGCAGAATAAGAGTTGTGGTCAGTCTGTAACACTTTGTCATCTGCCACTCCATATTCACTCTCTTCCCCTGCTCCAATGTGGTGTCCTTCCCACAGGATGCTGTCCTTCCCAAACTGATCCTGAGCGGGCTTCTCACAGGCAGCAGCTCTTCAAGAACTGCTCCCATGTGGCTCGCTACCATGGGGTCCATCTGACATGAGCAGCAGCTCTTCCCACGGGCAGCAGCTCTCCCCAGATCCCCTGCTCCTGCATGGGATCCTCTCCATGGGCTGCAGCTTCGGCCTGGGACATGCTCCTGTAGGGACTCTCTTGACTCTGATCTCCCACAGGCCCTCCCAGCATCACCTACTGGCTTGGTGTGTCCTGGCCAAGCAGCGTGAAGGTTCCGAGGTTGCGAAGGATCTGGGCAGCAGACGACGGTGACACAGCTGACAGCACTGCACCCAGTGCATCGGGCAGGCAGGAGGTGGCAGTGAGAACTGCGGGCCAGCGCCTTCCCTACTTTTGCTCCACAACGAGTAAGACCACTCTGCAGGACATTCAGGAAGAGTGGGAAGAGAGCCCCAGGAGAGAAGCTGTGGCAGAAGCAGACGACGTCCTGCCCAGCACGTCTCCTGCCCCATCTGGTGAGGCAGATGCCAGGCCTTCAGCTGCTCCTATGGCCGCAGTTCCTGGGCCCGAGGAGCTCCCCCCTGCCTGCATGCCCAAAGAGGGAAAAGCTTCAGCCTCTCCCCTGGCTGCGCACCCTGTGTTGGAGGCCAGGACAGCACCTCTCACCCCATCAACATGTGAGGAAGAAGAAGCAGCACCTTCTCCCCTGGCTGGGGGCCTTCTGCAAGAGGTAAGCAAGGTACACCTTCCTCGTCCCACAGTCATGGAAGCCACAGACCCCTGTCGGTGGGCCTCTAGGCCCCTCATCACTTATCCATCTGGCATCGGGGGCATCGGGGCCCGGAGCATGGCCAAACAGTGGCCCACAGGGCTGTGGTTTTCTCTCCCCATGCAGGTTTCCTCCGAGCATAGAAGCAGTGCACAGCGTTCGTCACACTTCCAATCAGTGCCAGAGGAAGGGCCAGGTATGTCCTAAAGTATGGAGCCATCCCAGCCCACGGCACGGAGGCTGGCAGCACTCCACGCACAGGGTCCCTCCGTGTCCAACTGTCCCCTCCCCAAGGGAAAGCCTTGGTGGCGGGGGCAGGCAGGACCATGCCCAGTTCCATCCCAGCCCCTCACGTACAGCTCTCTGACCCCCACAGGCACCGCTGCCCTCCCGCACGCTGTGGCTCGCTCGCGATTGCCCCGCCTCTTCAGGAGAGCACTTCGGGCTCTCCGCAGGAGTTTCTGCTTCAGCTGCATCACAGAAGACCTAGAGCAACGTGAGGCTGACAGTACCAGGGAGCTCCCCACAGATGGCAGCTTCGGTCCCGAGGACGGGGCTTCTGAATAAAATTGTTCAGGACTATTTCATAGATGAGGGCTGTCTCTTCTGTTCTGTTCTGCGTGCATGGGTGTCTGTGGGCTGCGTGTGCAGCTGCTGCGGTCAGACCCTGGGGCAGGGTGTCCCCATCTCCATGCTGCTAGTGCCTAGAGGGTGCACAGGTTTGTGCAGCAGTACTACCATGCAGTACTCTTGCGTGGGCTCCTCTCTATGGGCTGCAGCTTCAGCCCAGGGCCTGCTCCTGTGGGGGCTCTCCATGGGCCGCAGCTTCCTCCAGGCCACATCCACATGTTTTATAATGATGATGATGTTTTTGTTGTTATTATTATTAATAATAATATTTAATAATTAGTAATTATATTAATATAATTAATAAATAATCATCATTTAATAATTATTTAATAATTACAATAATAACAACATTAACAATAACAATAATAATGGATTCCAGGGCAGCGATTCCAAAACTTTTGTCATGAAGACTGGTTTCCCATGTATATGAGAGACGCATAAAGAAATCACAACTTCTTTTCACCAAAGTCTGAGTTGTTGTGATATCATTGTGGTGAAAACACGCACTTTTCACCAAAGTAACATAATTTATGTAAACTTGGTCAAACTAAGCCCCTTTGGAGATATTGGATGGCAGGCCTTACCAAATGCCAGACAAAGGAGAAGATCTAACCCATTTAGGAAACCAGTATTTGCAACAACATCTTACAGTTTTGTGCAAGCAACTAGAACAAATCAAGAAGAATGTTTTAGGCACTAGACCTTTTATTTGCCTCCCAAGGGGAAGGATGCACTTGAATCAATCTTAGTTGCTGTATGTGTGTAAATGAGGCAGGAGGAATTGAGACTGAGCACGAAAACATTTGGGGAAAGACTAAGGTAATAAGGTGATTAGTCTAAGGTGATTACATAAGGTAATTCAAGATGACACCTCCTGGGGTTTTCGAGAATTATGCAACAAATTATCCTTTTTGGGACAGACCCTTGAGGATGTCTGGCTCAACCACTGTGCTGTAAATTGTAGACCTCATCTTAGTATTCTTTTGAAAAGCAGTTAATAAGCAATGACTTTTATTCGAACACTAAAGAACGTCTCTTCATCAAAGGCTGCATCTACTTAGATGTGGGGATGGAGCAATAATCTATTTTTGCAACAAATGAGTATTTGTTGTAACAAATGAGGATTTGTTCTTGGTGCTCTGTGAGTGAGTGAATGAATGAAGCAGCCCTGTGGCTGCTGCACCTTCTGTGATGATGGTAGCAAGGAATGCCTATGTTTCTGCCAGAGCTCTTTCTAGATTGTTAATTTATCCAAACTGTGTTCTGTTCCCTTGGAGGTACAGTAACGAGCAAGACAGTCCAATTGGAGATGATCAGGAGACCAAAGCAGCTAAGGCTAAAGGCCTTACGTATTCGTCACGTGGTTCCAGCGTATATGAGCATTGGACTAGATTCATTTGGCACCATTGGAAGAAAATGCCTGCAAAATTGCATTCAGATCTCTTTGTAGAACAGGTGATTAGTTTGGCTTTTGATCTCCCATTTTGGGGTTGCAATACATTGATTTTGCACCTGAAACAGATCTTTCACTTCTGCTTCTTTAGAGAGAGCATTCATTCAAGTACCACTAATCCTCTCTGAAACTACAGCTGCATGGAGTAAATGTGATGACTGGAGATTTATTGCAAAACTACATTCTTGCTCCATCCCAGCATCTACTAGAGATGCAGCCTTTGAGGAATAGATTTTCCTTAGTGTTCTAAGAAGAGCTGCAGCCAAATAAACTGCCTTCTCCTAGGACCACTACAAAAAGATTTCTGCTCTCCATAGCTTGTCTAGCACAGGGAGTCTTGGTCAGAGCACAGTCGCCTCTGACACTTGGTGCATGACGCTTAACAGAGACTCACAGTTTACACTGAGGTCAAGCTGAAAAGGAGAATCATGTTGGAGATGAGAAGGTGACAGAGACATACTTAGGGTAAATGAGTCATTTCTGTGCCCATTTCTTCCATGCCAAATAGGAACGGAGGGAACTCATTTGACACTTGTCAGTAACTTAGATCACAATAGATTTGATTTCCTAATTGTTCTGATAGTACATTTTCCTGTCCACTGTGGGTCTGTTCCACTTCCTAGAGCAGTCCAGTTGGATTCTGCCATTTGTCAGCAGAATTTTACAGAAACTTCTACTGAGCACAGTCTACATGGATAGAATAGAAACCATGTTTAACTTCCTCCATCCCGCCAAATGAATAAGTATTTTTTTTAAAGGACTAAGCATCTTTTCTTTTTTTTTCTTTCTTTTTTTTTTTTTTTCTTTTCTTTGGGGGGGTGGGGGTCTGTTTTCTAGACTTCACAACATAGATCATGGCAACATTCTATTGAAAAATATACAAACAGTTATCTTAAGCAACAAAAATGAATACCAGCCAAGTGTACTAACCAGTTGAACTTGAAGCAAAAGAGACAGAAAAATTCTGCAGAAAACAAATAAAGACAAGGAATCAATCTTTGTCTTTCCATGCCTCGGTCAATCTGATCTGATAGAAAGCCAGCAAGATTTAGAGTGAGCGTTTTTTTCATCTGCTGTAATAATAATAACAAAAAAGAAATACGTTTAATATGCAACAAATTCAATGTAGATGATCAAGCTGGGGATTGGTCTGCATGAAAATGATACAGAGTCTGTGGTGGGTATTTTAAAGAAAGAGTTAAAGAAGTCTGCGTTGTTGTGATATCATTGATGCTGTCTGAAGAACGTTCTTGACCAGGAAGTTTCTGAAGTTTTCCACAGGTGTCTGAATTCAAGGATTGCATTGCTTTGCCAGAGAAATGAACTTTAGAAGAAAAGAAAATCCGAGGGAAGTTAGAGCAGGAAGGCTTATACCATGTCAAAAAACTTGAATATCCTGGGATAAATGCTTAGCTCAACAGACAAAATGAGGTTTCCATGCAGGGAAATTGTTTGCCTGAATTTTCTGGAAGAGTTTCCCAGTGACTAAGCAAATGAATGGGAAAAGACTCTCTTGAGAACGCCCTTTGTTCTTCCAGGTCCTATTTCAATCCATACTCTGATCCGTCCAGAGGGAAACCCGTTTTATCCTCATGTGGTTTACTTTGCCATGAGTCTGATCAACGGAGACACAGGGCAGCCATGCACAGTAGTCCTCTCTGCTAAGAAAGCCTTCTCTTTCCAACAGGGATGTCAGGGTGAGCTCTGTAGTGAGACAGGGAACAAGATGAAGGCTGGTGATTCCTAGGTCTGAGCGAGAACCATTGCAGGTTACCCACCCGAAGATAAGGGAGTACAAGACTGTGCAGAGATCACGGAAACAGCAAGAACTGGCTGACTGCAGAAGTCTGTCAAAGACAGGAAAGGCTGAGAGAGAGGATTAGCAGCGAGGAGGACTTCTGCCCTTCAACAGAGGACCACCAGAGTGTGCCGGACGACCACCCAGGGACTCCAGCACGCGTACGAACAGAGACGGGAACCTACGCGACTGATCCTTAGGAGCCCTGGTAACTATGCAGGAGACTTACGGGGTCAATTAAATGAGGATGGCTTCGTCCCACTAACAGAAGCACAGCGCCAGCAGCCGCAGGTGGGCGAGTTATGCGGAGCTATAGCCCCGTGCGCCCGGCGTGTGTGCGCAGCGCCGAGTAAACACGGCTGCCTTATAACCATTCCGAGGCTACAGAGCCTGATTTCCGCAAGTCAAAGCGTCCTTTTTCCTGAAGTGCATTTTGCACATGTGCCCTGTTTGTAGCCGTTTTAGCCCCGCCAGCTAATCTCGGGGCTAACCGCAGGCAGACACCGCCTGATACCCCCCCCCCCCACCACCACCACACAAGGCGGCGGCGCAGCAGCAGCCCCGCGCGCGGCGCTGGGGCCGTGCCTGACTCGGAAGCGCTCCCGGAGGGCGGCGCTGGGTTAGCAGCAGCTCTTCCGGAGCGGCCTCGCTCTTCCCCCTCCGGGCCCGTTCGCCACGACGCCTCCGGCTCCGTGCCCCGGCTCCGGCTCCGGCTCCGGCTCCGGCTCCGTGCCCGCCCGGCTCCGTGCCCGCCCGCTCCGTGCCCGTCGCCATGCCGCCGCGGGGCTGCGCGGCCGCGGGGCCGCTGCTGCTGCTGGTGCTGCTGGTGCTGCGGGCCTGCGCCGCAAGGGCCTCGGAGATCACCTTCGAGCTGCCCGACAACGCCAAGCAGTGCTTCTACGAGGAGATCGCGCAGGGCACCAAGTGCACGCTGGAGTTCCAGGTAGCGGGGTGAGGGGTCAGGGTGAGGGGGAGGGGAGGGGAGGGGGTCCCGCAGGGCTGCTGGCTGCGGGAGCCTCAGGGCTGGGCGCTGCCAGGAGCGGGGCTGTGTGAGCCTGCCCTCCGTGTGCCACATCTCCCCTAAATGTTTCGGTGTCCTCTGGCACGGGAAGAGCAGAGAGGTGGCTGGGGCTCGGGGGGGGCATCCGCAGAGGGCCTTAAAGCTCTCCCAGGGGTTCACCGTGAATGTGTGAACTGTCCCCTCGCAGGGTGTGTGGGAGGACTGGGAGCGAGCTGCTCGCACTGATACTTGATAAACAACATGCCCCTGCCGAATGTGAAAGTGTGCTTTGAAGATGAGCCATCATTTTACTGCAGAAATTATTTTTTTTTTCATTCTAAGCAGATAGTCATTTCCGTATGAAAATCCCCAGTAGGTGCAGGCATCCGCAGGGAGACATCCAAAGCTTTCTCTATTTTGTCATCACATTTGTGGAAAAGCAAAACTTGCCAGCTGAAATTTTTTTTAAAGCTTTGTCTGCGGATCGGCTAATTTTTGGTTCTCTTGTTATTTCAGCTTTACCACTAACACTGTGGTTTTAATAACTTGATGCATAGAAAAACTGATGTGGATATAAACAATAGTATCTGCAGTGCACATATCTGAAGCGCAGATGCTCAAATGGTTACATAATAGATGCTAAAGTATATCAATGAAAATAAAATTTCTCTTTTTTTTTTTTTTTTAAGGTTTCTGTACAAGCACAAAAGGGACATACATACCTTAAGATACAAGTCTTGTAGTCTTTCAGCATGCTTTATCTTAAAAGGAAAAGGTTTGGAGCTTAAAACTACAAGTCTGAGCATCCTGAGAAAAATAAATTATAAGCACCTAACTTAGCAATAGGTCTTATCATAGAGGTAGCATATATCTTGTCAGAAGAAAAGTGGGGAAAAAAGTGAGTCAGGCATGAAGTTCAGAGATGCTCGTAGGCGTCATCTGAATATTGTGATGTTGGAAAGTGCTGCTGCTGACTGCACGAGACTGATGCAGCAGATCCCTCTATGGCATTGCTTTGTTGACAAGCTCACAAGCTCATAGAAAGACTAGCCAGGCTGTAATACCTGTTTTACTGGTCATATGTCATTCCTACCCTGTAAAGCAGCTTGACCTCATAGGGTAGTTATGCTCTTTTGGCCGTACAGAAAGGAGCTGCCTTATCTCATTTTAACAATCTCAACTTGCAGAATTGATTCTTCAGAGGGCTTGTGTGTACATATTAAATGGCTGTTTTGTTGCAGTACCGTCTTTGCTGCTCTGACAAGTTTTATCTCCTGTAGCCTTTGCTCTAGTACAATTAGCTGTAACAAAGTAACTCAAATTTCTGTCATAACACTGCTTGAAAATGTAGTTGGTGTCATATATCCAGAACTGGAAATATTTTGAATTTTCCATGTGCCCTCTATAAGAGAATGATTTTTGTGAACTGGCTTTGAATGATTTTCAAATTAATGCATTATATTTTAAAAGATACTTCTCAAAGCAAAAAAAAATTACAGTAAGTGTCTGTTTTGTTAAAAGGACAATTTCTTGTTTTTTGTTTTGAGGTGATCACTGGAGGCCACTACGATGTTGACTGCCGGTTGGAAGATCCTGATGGCATTGTGTTATACAAAGAGATGAAGAAGCAATATGACAGCTTCACGTTTACTGCATCCAGAAATGGAACGTACAAATTCTGCTTCAGCAATGAATTCTCTACTTTCACACACAAAACTGTGTACTTTGATTTCCAGGTTGGAGAAGATCCACCACTGTTTCCTAGCGAGAACAGAGTGACTGCACTTACCCAGGTAAAATGCTGTTGTGTTTGACGGCAACTGTTAGCTTGAAAGAATGATTTTGTTGTGTTTTTTTGTTTTTTTTTTTCAGCTGCATTAAATGTCTACATAACTTTTGAACATCACTGGAATGGAGATGTTAAAAAAAAAATGAGTTATTAAAAACAATCTTTTTTCAGGAGATATATTTTATTCAACATAAATAAGAGTTGAAAATGAAATATGAAATTCCAAGTGCTTAAGAGAAAATTAGAGTAACATAAGCTTTAGGCCATTATCTTTTTTTTTTTTTTTTTAAGGGAATTTACGTTGAATATCATCGTTCTGTGTCCTATGAAGTATGCATTTCACAAACTAGAATATCAGGGGATTAGGGTTTTCAAAACTTCCAATTTTGGGGGGAAGCTTTGAGAATTATTTTCATACTTAAACTGATAGTCTTTCATGGAAGAAAGACTTAAGCTGGTCTGTCGCATAATTCTTATTTTTAAAAATACAGAAGAAAACTCCATCACCATCAACAAATAAATAAAAGCCATGTTTAGCTGGCTGATAGATATTTGTAATTTATGTAACATTCAGAAGTGTCAAAGTACAATTTTTAAATTAAAAAAAAAAGAAGTATAATTATTACTTGAGATTTATGGGATTTACTTTCCAAATACTCCCTTTTTTTTCAGCATTTTGCAGTTTTACACCACCTCTTCCTAAGCAAAACCCACCCAGACTTTCCTTGGATCTCTTGCTCCATGAATTCTCACTAATGTTCTTGCACTATATCCATCACCAAACTTTTTAAACAGCCATTAAAGAATGCTGGCTGTGGTCACTATTTTCCTAGTCTGGACTCAAAGGTATAAATACCACTTGCCAAATGCCAATCTTACTTAATTTACCTTGCATTAAGTCTGCAGTTGCTAAGATTCGTAGTGAGTACATGACTTCCTGTGAGTTGAAGTAGAGCTCTTACCTTCCTGTCATTCTTCTGCTCTGCCTTATTTTATTTTCTGATTCTTGATGCTGTATTTGATCACATTCTTTCCATTAGTCTTCATTGCATTCATTCGATGCGTCCAATTTTCCTTTTGCTGCCTTGGTGTCAGTCAGCAAGGGAAGCATCAACAAGGCAAGAAGTGGTTGCTGAATGCAACCTCTCTGCAGCCCCTGCTTACACTGTGGGAGAAGATATAAAATAAAATAGTTATCATTGTGTTGTAGCATACACAATGCAAGTAATCATAGAATCATAGAATATCCTGAGTTGGAAGGGACCCTTAAGGATCATCAAGTCCAACTCTTGACACCGCACAGGTCTACCCAAAAGTTCAGACCATGTGACTAAGTGCACAGTCCAATCTCTTCTTAAATTCAGACAGGCTCGGTGCAGTGACCACTTCCCTGGGGAGCCCGTTCCAGTGTGCAACCACCCTCTCTGTGAAGAACCCCCTCCTTATGTCAAGTAATGTATTCAGAGAAGGGAAAGCTAACTTTCAGTGTACCTTTAGTAAGAAGGCTCTTGGTGCAGTTTTCTTGAGGCTTGTAGCATGACCAAATTTGGGCAGCCTTTCACAGGGACAATAGAGGCAAATGCCTGAAATCAGAGGAGCTTGGTGTTTGAATTTAAGATCCCTTATTCAGATCTGGAGTGTTCTACAACTTATCAGTGAGATCAGTGGCAGACCTTAATTTGGGAAACCTCTTTCTGAATTTTGTTGAGAAGAATATCTTAGACTTGTTCAGACACTCATCTTGAAACATAATCTACTTGAAAAGATGCAAGTAACAGCTGTAAGTGACTGCAAGTTACTACAGATGTAAATAACTGCAAGTGGCCTTACTTGGGTGTTAAATGGTTCCTTTCAATATAGGTTGTGCTGTTTGATCTTCAGGAAATACTGTTTTTAAGACATAAAAACAGACTAACTGATCAGAACCTAAATATTTTGAAGATCCATTGATTAATTTCTTGATGATCTAAGCACAGTGAGGAGTACTGACTTACAGAAGATAAGTTGAAATGGAAGACGTTTATGTGAAAAATGATCTAGGGCGTGGAAAACTGGCAACAGTTGGGCAACTCTTTCTGAAGAAATTGCTACTATGTTATGGACAATTCAGCAACACTAAAATATGACAGAATTGTGTCCTTTCTCTGATTACTTTTTGCATACATGAGTACCAGAAGGAACTCTTGCCAAGAGAACATACTGAGTTTGGTAATGTAGATTGTGAGATGTTGTAGAACTTAAGTGAGAACTGTACAGTGACGAACATCTTGGGAAACACAGTATGTATTAAATACTGATGTTTCTTAATGATAAAAGAAATTGAGGCTACAATAGTTCTTCTAATGTTCACTTTTAAACTCACATGAATTGAATATTTGTTTCGTGGGTCTAAGAATGCATTGTTTTTGTTAGATCTAGTTTTACATGCTTCTGTATTTAAGAGTCTGTTACATTCCTGTTTGTAGAAATGGATCAATGTAAATTTAAATGTTACTGTTTTTATGGTATTTCAGCCTAACAATGAAGTGAGCCAATCATTCGTCTGTAAGGTTGCACAAATCCTAATTTTAAGTACTAAAGCACAAAACAGAAAAAAATATTAGAAACGTTCTTAATTCAGAAATATGTATTTGTTTGCTTTTCTAGATGGAGTCTGCCTGTGTTTCGATTCATGAAGCTTTGAAGTCTGTCATTGATTATCAGACGCACTTTCGATTGAGAGAAGCTCAAGGCCGCAGCAGAGCAGAGGATTTAAATACAAGAGTAGCCTACTGGTCAATAGGGGAAGCAATCATTCTTCTTGTTGTTAGTATTGGGCAGGTATTTCTCCTCAAAAGCTTCTTCTCAGACAAAAGAACCACAACAACCCGTGTTGGATCATAACTGGCAGTGATAATGCTTCAGGTCATTGTGTGCTATTCATCTGTAGAGTTACTGTTCTCCAATTAATTGTTAGGTACAAATGATCTAAGTATGTGTAACATTCAAATCTGTCTACCACTCATCCATTTAAATCACAAAAGATCCAAAAAGTTATGGAAGGGACACATGATTTGAAATTAAAAAAAAAAATAAAAAAAAAAAAGGAAAACACTTTGGAACTTAAATACTTTCTGATTTCTGTATTAAACATCTTGCATTGACTAGCCTCTTCTATAGATATTAATTCACACTGAGTTTGATGTTCTTTTTTTTCTACCAGTAAGATTACCTACTTGCGATATAAGAGTTTAAAAGAACCAAACAATCAAGTGTCAGATGTGCAAAAGCAATGCATATGAAAATGTGATTTGACTATAATTTCCAGGCTGAATGTATTTGCTTATAAACAAGCAAATGTGATGAACTGTAGTGTGCTGTTTTGATTTGCTGTTTAAAAAAAAATATCATTTCCTTATTTGTAAATCGGTTGCAAGCTTGACAGTTTATCCTGGCTCATTTTCCATCAGCCTGGGAAGTCTCCTCCTTCAAAACTTGCTAAATTTTATAGTTGAATGCATTTGCTTAAGCACACATTCTTCTATAGTGAAATAAAATGAGCTTCTTATACAATGTTTGTTTTACTGAACAGATTATAAACTGAGACAACTCAGGAAATACATTTTCTGTCTTCAAAAATCCAAATCTCCAAGTTTATGTTAAAAACATGCAATAAAATAGGGAGTCCTCTAACTTTGTCAGTAAAGCCGTACAGTCTCTGTACTTATTTATGTTGCTGCTGCTTTTTGGATTTAAGACCAGAGGTAGCTTGTTTTTTTAGGCAGCGCAGTACCAGCACTGGACAAGGTTATATTACATTTGAGGCACATACAAGGCTTTTTACTAAATTGATTTCCTGTTAAGAGGCCAATTTTAATATTGATACTGCATTGCACGTGTGCTGTAAATTTTATTTCCCTGTGTGTGGTGCACTAATACATTATGGCCTTGTGCATCTAATTGCCACTCTTTTTTGCTAGTGGTGAGGAAATTAATTAAATATTTGAGGTTATCTTTTTGGTAGTTAATAGTTAAATTGTTTCCACTGCTCATGTATTTAGCAGCTTATGTACTGTAATGTCTTGTTTTATTTGGATGTGGAAGATAGTAAATGTATGTATGTACAAGTAGCTTAAATTGAGCTGGTCAACTCCTTCAGGTGGCTCTGGAGGAATAAGTAAACTGACCAATTCTTAAGTGCACAAATTAAACAAAAGTAAAAAAAAAAAAAAATAAAAATTGTCATCGTATTACTGACTAATTCAAAATATGCTTAAGCAAGCAGAGCAAGAACTCTAAATCCTCATTAGTAGCCTGTGTTATCTCTAGCAAAAAGTTGAAGTCACATGTACGGCTGACCACTGAGTATTCTGAAGAACTGATGAAAGATGACTTCATTATAAAATGTTTTGATGTTTGCAAAAAAAATGAGCAAGCATGCTCCTAGTCTCTATTCTGAAATAAACTTCTTCAGAAAGTGAATTAAAAAATGAACAGTGGCTCAAAAACAAGTAAAAAGCTCACAGAGGTATTAAAAAGCTTAATGTAAAATTCAGGATTGTGTGTAATGTCTTTCTATCTTGTACCAAACTTTAAACACTGCATTCCCATTTTGTGATGCACGCTTCCCAGAAACAGTTAGATTCACAAAGGTCAGAAAGCAAAAAGCTAGTTCTTTCTTCTTACAAAACAAGTCTCTGCCTGAAATAGGTACAATATTGTTGATTATACCTATATGCTTCATTTTTGTGTTTCAGCAGCTGATACTTAGTTTCTGTACTGCTTTGCACACAATAATGAAGTAAGTTGTGCACTTTGGGTGCAAGTGTCAGAAGAAAACACGATTTTAATTTTGAAAGTACCCACTCTACTCTTCTGAATTTTAAATGTCACTTGTTTAGCTTTAATCAGAACAAGTGCGTTTGCTTTAAAGATTGAAACGTGTTTTTTTTTTCCAACTGAGTTGTTCTGTGTGCTCTCAAAATTGGTAACAATGGGATAAAGCAGATACTGGATGGCCATCGTGTACATGTCTCTATTCTTTCATACCGTTGGAATGTGTGACATGGGACTGTTTGGCTCAGAATTATTCCCACTGCAGAGGCTTAGTGAACTTGACTTTTGCATTGAAGTTAGGTATACAAACCAATCCTCTGATATCTTGCTGCATAATATGCAGCAATAGCTTAAAAATGCCTTTATTTTTGTGTTATTAAAAACATGGCACAAGTACACGTTTAAACATAGCTGTACATAGTTTTTAAAATGTGACTGAATAGGATATAATAAACACGCTAACATGCAGTGGGTGAATAAATGCTTTGTGACTTTTTGTTAAAGCTATGTCTTTTTATATATGGAAAGCATAGTTTGATTAATGGTGTGATACTCAAGTAAATCACCATGCATTAAAGGGGATACAACTGTGTTTTTAGCTGAAACCCAGGGCTTTTAGTAGTTTTTTTTCCTGGATGTTTGTGTTTACGCAACTTATTTTCATGTTCAGGAATGTCAGTTCTTGTTTTAGTTTGGAAAAAAAAATAGTTTGAATAAGACAAGAAGCAGACCCTGTGAATACTGTATGGGTAAATAAAAATTAATATATGAATATGGCCTGGTTGTTTTGTTTGCATGTGGGAAGGGGGAGCATTACGATTTGAAAAGCTTTGAATAGTGATCTGTTCATAGAAGCATCGGATATCTGAGTTGCAAGGGACTCAGCAGGATCATCAAGTCAAACTCCTGGGTCCCAGAGAACCACCAAAAAAGAAAAAAAATCAGATTGTGGCTGAGAGCGTTGTCCTACCACTCCGGCAGCTGTGTGCCATGACCACTGCCCTGGGGAGCCTGTCCCAGTGCCCGACCTCCCTCTGGGTGCAGACCCTTTCCCTAACCCCCAGCCTGACCCTCCCCTGTCCCAGCTCCATGCCGTTCCCTCGGGTCCTGTCACTGTCCCCAGAGAGCAGAGCTCAGTGCCTGCCCCTCTGCTCACCTGGTAAGGAAGCTGCCAGTCATGTTTGGGGGTGTCTTACACTGACCAAACACTGGGAGGTCAGACCTTAAAACTGAAGCAAGAAGTGAATCTTACGGTCAAAGCTTTTTTTCAGATATCTTGGTTTTCTTCATAAAAAGAACAGTAACCGAAACAGCCTGAAAGCTGTTTGTGTTGCTAATGAGGATGATGATTTGCATATCTTTGAATAGAAAAACTATAGCCACAAGAGAATAAAAACAAACAAACAAAAAAAAAAAAAAAAAAAAAAAAAAAAAAAAAAACCTTTAGGGATTAAAAATAATAAAATTCAGAAGCATTGTCTGAACTATACAGACACAGAATGGTGTCTGCATGTGTGATGATTTATTGTGGGGTCATAAGGCTGCAATGCTCGCTGCATATTTCCTGAAGGCTGGGTGGTTGAGGTGGTGAAATTAAAGCATGGAAACAGCGGAGCTCACAGAGGAAAAACATTTGTGCTTGAATGTATCACAGGCAGTCCGCAGCAGCCTCCCATGACCTTTGAGTACTATTAAAACAATTACTCAAGTGCATGGAATTTCTGGTACTATACGGTATACGTAGAAACTGCTAAGCAAAAGGAATCAGAAAGCAAGGAAGGCTGCAACAGATTTTTGAAAGGACATGCTGCTTGAAGTCCTGCTCAGTGGCATCCTTTGGAGGGGGCTGATGGACTTGTCTGTACTCAAACCCAGCTTTGAAGCAAAACATTTCTCTCTGCAGAGATTTTAATCTCTGGACCAGATGTAAGCAGGCATAGACCACACAGGTGTTTTTGCTGGGGTGGGTGCATGTCAGGAAGTGACACATACTGCATGCAGCCGATCCTTGGCTGGATTTCCCTGGGTCTGCAGCAGGTCTGCAGTGACGGATGGAAATCTCCAGCAAGGGGGCTGCCAACACCCCAGCTTCCACCCTCCCCAGCCCTCTGATTGGACCTGATGCTCCTGAAGGAAGGGAGTTCAACTCGCAACCATCTCTGTGGTCACCATTATTTTCAGATTGGCATAGGAACATAGCATTTGAAAATGGCTTAATTTAATATGCAGGTCTGAGAGCACTTGATACAGGAGGTGATCTGCTAGAAAATGGGCTGTCCTGTGAAGGACAGCAGCATAGACTGAATGGTTTGTTTCCTTTTTCTCTTTTGCTCTTGCATTCTCCGTGGACAACAGTGGTCAAAGAGCATGTTTTTATCTATCATCTGGAAAAAGTGCATGTGACTGCTTCTGTTTTAGGCTTTTATTTGTAAACTTGTATCCATGGAAAGGGGTGACAGGAGGAAGTACAGAAATATTAAAATACATCTTTTTCTTCTGACATTTCTTCTCGCTGGAAAAGTTCATTCTTTTATGTAAAATTGTTGTTTACTTGTAAGAGTGTGAATAATCAAAAACAGCTTTTGGGAAACGTATGTTTTACATTTTTTGCTGTAGCCCACAAGGTAGGGCTTCACTGAGACAAGACTGATCACAATATTCCTTTCTGTAATTCATAACTTTCACAGCTCTTTTCCACTTCTTGTCCCAAAAAAAACACTAGCACCATGCCAAAAATCAGATGGCCCAAACTGTTGAAACATGCACAATAAATATTGGCATACATGTTGCATGAAAAAGTTGTAACATTGCCTTTTTGTCCTCTACAGAGCAGCTCTCTTGTGTGCTTAAAAAGATCCAGTATATTCCTGGCAAGCATTGAGGTAATGACCTAATGCCAGTTTGACTCTGATTTGCTTATTTGGAAGGTTGTAATGTTATATGTGGAATACGAGGGAATAGGAAATCACTGCTATTCTTCAAGGAAGCACAGTGCATTGCTGTGCTGTGCCTATGAAAATGCAGCTCCCAAGGAGTGGATCATGATTATGTAAAACTTCATTTCCAAAGGATTTATAGCATTTGGGCTGCGCATGTGAACACAGCAGGTCCCAACAACCATGCCTTGACCCCCAGTGCAGCCTTGACGCTGTCACCAAGTGCTGTAGGCATGAGTCACACAGCATTGCTGCTGCCCCTCACAGCAAAATCTCTTCCAGTCCTGCCAAGAAAAAGCAGACTGCTGCCACTGTATGCATGCATCAGTTTGTCTGCAAGTCTGTATGTACATGTGAGCTTTCAGATGGTGCAAGAGGAGCTCACCTGTCTTTCATGATTGTTTTTGCTGGCAAGTTGGATGCTGGGTTTTTCTTGTGCTGAACCTGTGCAGCTAGTGTGCATCCCTCTTCAAAAAGAGCATTCAACATTAGGACCAAAAAAGTGATAAGCAGGCCCTGGGTATTATGTGGAAGAGCAGTAAATTACCAGAGAAGAAAGGAAGAAGTAAAAGTTTTAAGCTTCTTGAATGTAGTGATTAAAAATAAATAAATAAATAAATGCTGTAGAAAACAGCCTTTTGAATTTCAGTTTATAAATCACCCAACAGAGTTAGAGTTACAGTTCTGTTCTTCATTAGTACACACTTTTCTTGATGTTAAGCTTCCAAGTAAATATTTAAGATGTATAAACTATCAGCTGATCTCTTAATAAAGTAACCCATTGCATCATTATTAAATTTTGTTATTGACTTGCATTTTTGACAGGAGGATATTTTGTCATCAACATGATGGTCCTAAGGACAATGACTGCACATGGGTTGCTTTAACAGATAATAAGTATTATTAAATTTTTGGTATGATAAAAAGAAATGACAAAACTTTAAGGCACTCAAGCCCTTCTTCAGATTTGCAGGTCTAAACACCCAGAAGCTTGCATAATTTTTTTTTCAACTATATCAGTCTGATAACATCTACGAGCAAACCACATTCAGCTGCTTAGGAGTTAGCATAAGTTTATCAGGACAAAGCAGCCCTGACTTCCATTGGAACTGTCAACTGACAGACCACTCTGGACCAAATAAATTTAACTAAAAATTTGCAAAATAATCAGAATCACAGAATTTCTCGGTTGGAAGAGACCTCAAGATCATCGAGTCCAACCTCTGACCTAACACTAACAGTCCCCACTAAACCATATCCCTAAGCTCTACATCTAAACGTCTTTTAAAGGCTTCCAGGGATGGTGACTCCACCACTTCCCTGGGCAGCCTGTTCCAGTGTCTAACAACCCTTTTGGTAAAGAAGTTCTTCCTAACATCTAACCTAAAACTCCCCTGGTGCAACTTAAGCCCATTCCCCCTCGTCCTGTCACCAGGCACGTGGGAGAACAGGCCAACCCCCACCTCACTACAGCCTCCTTTAAGGTATCTGTAAAGAGCAATAAGGTCGCCCCTGAGCCTCCTCTTCTCCAGGCTGAACAAGCCCAGCTCCCTCAGCCGCTCCTCGTAGGACTTGTTCTCCAGGCCCCTCACCAGCTTCGTCGCCCTTCTCTGGACCCGCTCAAGCACCTCGATGTCCTTCTTGTAGCGAGGGGCCCAAAACTGAACACAGTACACGAGGTGTGGCCTCACCAGAGCCAAGTACAGGGGGACGATCACCTCCCTAGCCCTGCTGGTCACACTGTTTCTGATACAAGCCAGGATGCCGTTGGCCTACTTGGCCACCTGAGCACACTGCTGGCTCATATTCAGCCGACTGTCCACCATCACTCCCAGGTCCTTCTCTGCCAGGCAGCTCTCCAACCATTCCTCTCCCAGCCTGTAGCTCTGCTTGGGGTTATTGTGCCCCAGGTGCAGGACCCGGCACTTGGCCTTGTTGAACTTCATGCAGTTGACCTCAGCCCATCGGTGCAGCCTACCCAGATCCTCCTGCAGAGCCTTCCTACCCTCGAGCAGATCGACACACGCACCTAACTTGGTGTCATCTGCAAACTCACTGAGGGTGCACTCAATGCCCTCATCCAGATCATTGATGAAGATGTTAAAGAGGACCGGCCCCAGCACCGAGCCCTGGGGAATGCCGCTAGTGACTGGCCTCCAACTGGACTTGACTCCATTTACCACGACTCTTTGGGCCTGGCTATCCCGCCAGTTTCTAACCCAATGAAGCGTGCGCCAGTCCAAGTCAAGAGCAGCCAGTTTCTTGAGGAGAATGCTGTGGGAGACGGCGTCAAAAGCCTTGCTGAAGTCAAGGTAGACCACATCTACAGCCTTTCCCTCATCGACCCAGCGTGTCACTGTCATAGAAGGAGATCAGGTTCGTCAAGCAGGACCTGCCTTTCATAAACCCATGCTGACTGGGCCTGATCCCCTGCTTGCCCTGCAAGTGCTGAAACATTAGGGGTCTTAGCTGAAACATCTAGGGCTCTTAGTTGCATTCATGCATTGTAAATGACCATTATACAATATATTATTAACTGTCATAAATTTTTTTGTTGTTGCTTTCTGAGTAAAAAGCTTTTCTGAAAAGTCTGAAGTATATTTCTGTGATTTCTTACACACTGCTTGAATTCTGGCAGATTTACAGAGAGCATTCTTAATGCAAGCATGCTGCCTTAAGCAATTCACTTTTCCCTGATTTCGTTTCTCTCATACGCCATTGCACATCTCTGTTGTTGCAGGTGTAGATGAATTTAAAGAAGTCTTGGCCAGAGACAAGTTCTTTCCTCTGTAATGCACTTTTCTTATCATGGAACACATGGATAATGCCACTTTGT